TCAATACTCTCCTCATTTTCAAAGTGCTGTCAGCCCACCGAAGACGGCGTGGTATGTCTAAATCCCCCGAGGGGGAGGAGGATAACCGAAAGGGCACCTCGGGCACCAGATCTCTTGTTGCCCGCCAAGCGCCATGTCCGGCAGGCGGGCAGGATGGTATTGGAGCCTTCCAGCAGGGAACCATGAACGCAGTCATTAACACATCTGTCGCCGTGGCCAAAATTAAGCCGCGAAAGTCAGGCTTTGGCGAACAGCAACGCATTACTATCATGTTAATCGCCATCGTGGTGGCGTTCCTTCTTCTTCAGATGCCCAGCACCGTCCTCAACATTCTCGGCAGTCTCATAGACATTGACTCGCGTAGAAAAGACTTGCAGTTCGCCTCCATGTTAATTATTTTTTCTAACATCTCGAACGTTCTTCTCTTCTTTAATGCCACCATGAATTTCGTGTTTTACTCCCTATTTTCGCTGAAATTTCGCACTACCTGTAAGGCCCTATTCCAGGGTTCAAAGTGCAGGGCGGAGTTCTACTCATTACAATCAAAGATGAACAGCACTTTCAAAAGGAGTTACTCTGCAGCGCCGAGGACAGGAAGTAAGAGTGATCGGACAGCTGCCGTTGAGATACCACCGCTGGAACATTGTCCTACCTGATGAGCCCTAGAGGAGGGAGAATCAAATATGTCTGGGGTCTGCTCACCTCTCAAAAGCTCATGTGTTTGCTTCTACTACTCAGCCTGCCTTCTTGATGGACGATCTCCCAATACTGAAAATAAACTGATCTGCTGGCCAGAGGTACACTGGGCGGCGAAAACGCCTCCGACACAAAACACCTTGCGTGTGTGAAAAGTGCATGCGTCAGAGAAAAACAGTGGATATATTACAGTCATCTGCCCGCTGAAAAAAATAGGTACAGAAACAACGATCGGAATATCTCACTTTTAACTATTTTCTACAGTGAATTGTTGTCACAATCCAAGTCGATTTAGTTTTTATTCCCTAAAATGCCTTTTTCAAAAGATTAAAACGTCAACTGCGATATTCATGAACATATTTCTCTAAGAGATAGAAATGAAAAGATTCCAGTCGTCTAATGATGATTTTGTTTATATAAGCCGGGCGCAGGTTTTAGGCAAAAATCCTAAATAAAGACTTAATTTATGCTCAAAAGTTGAACCTATGGACTAATAATCAAACAAGATGGACTCTTGAATTTAGGTGCGGTAAGGGTACTTCTAGAAAACATTAGCCTCTTAAGTCGTGAGTGAATCTAATGTTTAAGGTAAAGCTAAAGTCCTATAACCTGTTGAGAGCAAACTTTTTCGTTAAGATTAATAATAGTGAATTGTAAAATAAGCGTGTTGCCTAGCTTACGTAAATGGCAAGTTATTGATTGGCCACATGATAATGTTCCATTGTGAGTATTTGCAGTCAGCTATAAATTTTCTCCCCCGTTAATTGGAATATATTTAGAGCTATATCTTCCAAAACAAAAGCTGGACTTTGAATATACGATTAAGCCCGTCGTGGTTTCCGTAAAAAGCAGTCTATGCAAATGATCATAAAATTTGGATCGCTAAGCAATGCCGAGCACAATTTAATAACAAATATCCGAACGTCAGGAAATACCTTTATGTTAACAGGTCACAGACGTACTACAAACTTGTTCAGTATTGTCGACGTGTTGACTAAGAATTTAGTCTGGACCCGTTGAAGCACATGCCTGAGGCAACCAATTAAAAATAAATTAAAAATATCGGACAATGTTGTGTTTCTGATTACGTGGGTCATTTTAGGGGCATAGTTTTGACAGATGTATGAGCGCGGGGTTGGAAATAAGACAGAAAGTCAAGGAGCTGAAAAAGTTCCGCATTCAGGAATCCAAGGAAGGTTAAGAATGGGGTCCGGTCATTATGAGCGTGTCAATACACTTTCTAGGAGTCAGAAGGAAAGAGCATCGCTGGCGACCCAAGAACATCTGTAAAACTCGTGGACGTATAAACGCGGCCGAGAAAGATAATTAGTCAAAATAATGCAACATGCGAACTGGAACCGCATAAAGCACTAGACAAAAGCCCAGAATGCGAAGGTGAAGGGGCAGTGGAAAATTTAATTACGCATTTAGGATACACGAAGCAATTGACTGATGGGCAAATATCAGGATGATTTGGGCAATCGGACATGTTTAAAACGTCTTACCGAGTCACAGCCTAGAAGGTATCATTCACTTGATTAAACGGGTGCCAACTTTTTTTTGATAAGTGACTCGAAAGCCATTTTGACAACCCTACGTATCAGTCGGTATTTCTATGAAATGAGAGCAACGTATGATCTAGTGGATGAATAGAATAGCTTATGTACGCAAGCCATAATTGCTTGGAAAAAGGTGAGAATGCTCTTAAAGTTTTGACCGAAAAGATTTATAGAGTAAAATTGGGAAGTTAGTAGTCCAGTGTTTCAGTTTCAAAAAGACTAGCAAAATTCAGCTGAGACGCGTTGGACAATGAAAGACAACACAGGACCATTTCACATAGTACTCAAAAATCAGTTTTCTGTTTCTGTAAATACTTTCCATGCTTTGCACATCGCATAATGAAAAGCATTGGAAAACACTCAGTCGGTCCCACAATTTCCCTTGGGATCCAACACTTCCGACTTTTAAATACAACGTACAGTACGTGCGCTAACTCATGAAAAGTTAACCAAAATGTGTTTTCGTTTCAAAAAGATTACTTACTTAAGGTTGTAGTATTAATTTCCATGCAGAAAAGCCCACAATGGTTCAAATATCCACGGATGCCGGCTTTCAAACGAACTTTTTTTCGTCGGCATGCAAAAAATACAGTCCGCAAAAAACAACTGCTTACGTGGCACGAATTCTCTCTCACTGAATTTCAATACCCTTAAAAAGTTGCATTTATTTCGTAGAAAACAGAATAAAGCTATTCATTTTTCAACCTATTTGACATAAAGTTACGTCTTCTTTTAGCTTCATACTCGATGGTAGGGTAACATTCGTATTCGAAAGCCTTTGCAATTCCCGAGTAATTTTGTACCCAATTTGCTGTTACACTTGCATCCAGGGTTTACAAACTACCAACCATATACTTTTAGCGCACACAAAATCATGCATTCCTATGCTGTATTAAGAGGAGACCATATGGTGTTCATAAAATTTAACATTGGATTTCAGTCATATTGTAAACTTTACAATCCGCATTAGCAAACGCAGAAGCACGATATTATATGAACAGGCACTTCACGGTATCAAAAATCTCATACTAAAACACATCTACAAAACCGAAGTATACTCTGCTTTCGGGGATAAAATTGAGAGAAACCGTAATTTTCTACCTAATTAGTAAAAGAAGGAATACTTGTATCATGTTTGCATGAACTGTAACTGAATTTTTAGTGGAATCGAAAATCAATGAGACAAAATACATGCTACTGAAGTAGTTATTTTTACAGAATGCGGTTTTTACATACCGTCATAAAGACGTTCGTTTAAAAGTCGGCATATCAATGTAACTGAATTATCATAAGATCATGCCGCATAGAGATTAATTTTACTACCTTACTTAAGTTATCTTTTTTAGGCGAAAAGGTATTTCAGAATTTGGTCAACATTTCATGTGTTAGCACGCCTACTGCATTAGGATACTTGCATACGGCCAGGTTCCACAATTTCAGACATAATCCATGTCTTTGTTGTAAGGAAATGATTGCTGTTCAGTTACAGAACACAGCGTCTATTCCACCAAGGTGTCCAACTTATCTATAATAACGAATATCAATGAAATCGTTTGAAAATTATGTCAAAAGAAACATCAGTATGTTTACGGACTTTGAAAACTTATGTTTTCCTATCCGTCGGAGGGGTTTTCTTAATTGGCAGTTCTAGTGGTAACAGTTTGGCACTTGACCTCATTAGGTTAGTAATACTCTCAATTGGCTTATATATTAAAAACTTTGAAGTGAAATTTCCGTAGGGATTTTTACAGCTTTTTAACCAGCGAGGTGGCCCTTATCCACATTGTGCTTACTGAACGCGGTTCGTGTTTTTTACCCTATACTACGCTTACCTAAGTGTCAGGCGTCGACGTGTCACATGGAGGCAAATGCACGCCGACACTCTGACGGCAGAAACGTTCGGATTTGGGTTGGAAGTAAGGATATGGGGGAGGAAAACTTCATGCGGCACAGTTAATGCAGTGCTCATCTTGCCCATCATAGCAGTAAGCGTTGGAATATTTGTAATCAACCGACGGTTAGGCAGTTGCTGCAGACTGCAGTCAATAACCTCAAAATCGACGTTTTTTTGAGGCAGCTTGCCAATGTTGCCTGTAGGACAAACGTGCTTTTGCAAACGGGGTATTCTTTTTTCTTCACCTCAGAAGAGAACGCGCGTTTTTATTCCGGTTACCGTTAAAAATAGAAGTCTAATTTAAAAGAGCGGTCATTTTTTATCAAATTCTTCCCAAGACGAGCCTACATGGATATTAATGTAATGAGCTTACGGAGAGGACGGAAATCATGGTATAGAAGGACGAGGTTAAGGACTAAATTCAGAAAACGTGAGATGAAGCGCTGGAACGTGAACGAAATTTGTCGAAGCTTCGGAGCAGCTTTTGTATCCGCTTTCGGAGGTGCGACACAATTTCTACGCACTAAATAAACAACTCTACTTTTCAGTCCCCGCATCCATTGCTTATGCTTTTTTACGATGGTGACCTGGTCGATCATGTCCTGGTTTCTAATTCGGCGTCTGCATTGAAAAAAACCCGAAAGACGAACTCAGTCAGTCGGAAAAACAGAAGTAAAATATCTTAAGCTAGTGAAAAAGGAGGCATTTTAATTGTAAAACAAAGTGCGGGCGTTCTTCTGTCTTCTTAGAGCCTCAGTCAACAAGTAAACCGAGAGGTTGAGTGGAGAGCCACGCTCAGTACTCGAGGAATCTTGTCTTTGGCGGACTGTCGATAAAAGATACGGCATCGAAGTCGTTTCGTTCGCCGTTGTATTTGATCGCAGACATTTCGTAGCAAGGACGATTTTGAATTGCAGTTATACGCACTTCCTTGGAGTGTTGGATTACCGATGGTTTCAGTTAGATGCAGCTAAGCTCAGACTGTCTAGGACTTTTTGCATACATCTTTAGTTTTCTTGTCCATGGGAGGTTGATTGTTAGGAATAAAAATTATTTACCCTTTGTACCAAACACCGGATATCTGAAAGCTGGCATGCGGCATAATAGTATTCAAATTTACTTAAACATATTACATCTTCAAATTTTCATTTACCTTGGAAGAGGTATGAGATCTGGTTAACTGGAAAACCTCTAATTACCAGGTCCAATACGCTAAGCAGCCAAATTTGCACCGATTATCCTTTCAACTGCCATCATAACATCACGTTTTACTGGCATTGTGGTCGAATAAAAAAGCCTAAAAGGTCCAGTGCGCTCAGCAGTTAGAAGGATTACCGAAAAAAATGAGTCCGGATTATCATTGTAAGTTTCCTTTAGAAAATGTGATTTTTCATGATCACTGGTATCACCAGTGTTAGCGCCTGGTTTCTTTGACTGTCATCTCTTGCCAGTAGAACTCCTCGCTTTAGGTGGCCAGGATTGGGGGAGAATGAAACGTCATCCACCT